TTAAACACAGAAATGAGATTCTTTCAGAAGGAAAGCATAACACATCTAAACTTGCTAATATACATCTCTCTTGTACTCATTCCTATGAATTGGTGTTTCTAAAATTTGTACTGCTGTTTTCCTCAAACATGCACCACAAACTAGTTTTTCTTTGAAATTTTCATCTACCTTTAATGCCTACCTCTTATAATCTTGACTAAAGGACAAAGGCACGAGTCTAGTCAATGCTATAAGACTTCTTTTCTACTGAGAAACTGTCAGCCAAATTTCTCTGGGAGGAACTAGAAATGAAATGAGAGACATTGATAAATTTCCCTGCTGAACAATCAATAAAAAACCCCACCATTCTGCTCAGACTCCCACTGTGGAAGCAAGAGCCGTAATTACATTGTCAAAAATTCAAGCTGCCCAGGCTGACAGCGACCCCCTTGAAAACTGACAGGTGATTGGCACTCTGTTTGGGGGTGAACCTGGGCTAGCAGACAAGGTAGGCAAGACAAAAGGTGAAAGAGAAATTTCCTTACTGACTACCATCACCTAAACCCCTGGCCACCACTCAAGAGAAATCCATGACCTTTTGGTTGTATTAACATAACCAAGTGAGCAGCTGACAGATCTCCCTGTTCAATCTCACAGCAGATTTGGAACAGCCCTGTTCTGACTCACTCCAAACAGCCTGAAAACGAAAGAGAGCAATATGTGTGTAGGCAGGTCGGGGGAGGGTGTGCACACACACACACACACACACACACACGTACACAAGCATGGATGCATGAATATAGCAGTTCTTGTGTTTTTCGCCAGTAAAAAAAAAAATGTGAAACCTTCTTTCAACTCCATTATTTTCTTATGACAGCTAAACAGTAAGTCTGCTTGCCTACCGATCCTAACCTATAACAAAAATCATCTGGAGCCATCAGGGGTAACAGGACAATAATGAAGAATGACATCAGGAACGGTTGGGCAGGGAGAGTTAGGACTGCCATTCAGACCCATTTGTGCAATTCTATATGATCCAAGATGCAACTTGATCAGGATCCATCAGTTGCTAGCTGCCCGATGTTAAAGACCAACTGCCTGCCAAAGGCCTGAGTTGCTAGGAAGTAGCCTCAACCCGGCTAAAAGGGGCCACTGCAAACAGTTTTCAGAAAGTCTTCATCATGTTCATGCCTGCAAGTGGAGGTTATACACTGCTGGGATGCAGCTGTTCCAGAGATGAAAATCTAAAGATGTCTACTAGGTGCTGGAAAGAGAGCAAGAGACGCCTGGGGAAAATGATCCCTCTTGGTCCCCAAAGCAAAAGCTCTTCTCATTCTCGGATTAAATGAGATAGGCAAGAATATTAATATGGAAGATCTCCAAGCAAAGCTGGCCCATGTTGAACTCTAAAATTGTCTGTTGTACCCCTCCCACATTTCCTCATCTCCCCACAAAATATGCGATCACTGGTACTGTGGACTCAGACTTCTGGGGAAAAGAGAAATCAGTATAATCAAAATAGTAAGGATGCAGCCTGCATGTTATTGTGAGTTCTATTGTTTGGCAACCTACAGGAGCCGTAAATCTACAAGCTGGGAATGGGGTTTTTCAGGCTTGAACAGAGATTGCTCTCAGGTCATAGCTGATAACTGTTTTAATTAGACTAATTTCTGGTTCCAAAACTCTTCACCACCAAAATCATGGTATCTTCAAATTTAGTCAGCGGGCCACATTTCATGTCCAAATACCACTCCCATTCCACCCAAACCCCTCTGAATCAGACTCTGGGGATGAGACCAACAAGTCTGCACTCTTAAAAAGTCTCTAAAAGAATCTTTTGTGTGTCAAGGTTTGTGAACACACTCACTACACTGTTCTGGGAAGCTGAGTGAATATTGGGTCATTAAGTACCTTCTGGGTATAAGGCAGTGAATCAAGTTACTCCCTGCTTTGCATACTTGACAGCAAAAGAAAATTAGTTTTTCCCTAAAGTCCCAGTGTCACCAGACGCACCTTTGGCCCTGGGAAAAGGCCTGTGAAATTACGTAACGATTTTAACCATGATATACCACTGTGCCGGAGGGGGAGATCTGTGTGAGACCTCAGGTGATGAGGATTGGTGAAGAGTGAGGATTGATGGGTGCACGTGGGGCTGTGACTCTGACAGATACAGCAGGAAGTGAACCCCTCCTTCCCAAATGGCCACATTCTTTTCTGCACAATATTTCTTTCCAGTGTTTGAGGTGTGGCAGCATCAGTTCAGAGAGGAAGTGGCTGGAGCCCAACAGTGATCAGAGTGCCAGCCCTGTGGTTGTCATGAGAGTCTAGTCACCCCTCTGTGGGAAGGGCCTGGGGCAGTGGATTAAAGAGTTGTTGATGACAGCCAAATCTAGAAATACAGGAAAGGCAAGGAGAAAGGGGGTAGGAAGAGGATCAGAAGGGTTCAGAAGTGGAATGTCAAAAGAAAATGAGAGACAAAAGGAAAGGAGTAGGTGGAGGAGAAAGGATATAAAGAAACACAGGAGGCGGAGATCTCCAATTTGAGCAACATCACGTGGCTGCAGTAACAACATGTCGTTAGCTTTCAGATTCTCAAAATGTATTAAAAACATCTATTTTCCTTTAATTAGTTCATTGTGACTATAAGCAGAAGTACTAGGCATTTTTTTTAATTTGCTACTTGCTTACAAAGGCTAACAAGCACGGAGTACTGGTAAATGGAGACACACAAACATCTCACTGATCCTTCTTCATAGTGAAGCATGGGAATGGGAAGTGGTTGGAATGAAAGAAGCAGAGTAAAGAAATTTTAAATTTTCTGTTTTCTTTATTTAAATTTCAGTTTCCACCCAGAGCTGTGCTCTGAGCATCCTGTGAGGCAGAGGTTCTCAGATCTGAGGTTTCCAGGGTCTTCGAATGCTGAATGGCCTGGCTAAAACCCTGAGCTATCCCCTCTGGTTCAAGCTTTTTCATATAGTAAACAGTAACATTTTGGGATGGAAATCTAAGTGACAAACGAAGAAGAGCAACCTCTGAAGACTGGGGCTGATGTGTGAACAAGTGGAAGAAACTCATGGATCCTGGACTACATGATAAGGGTGGGTGCTTGCTGATGATGAGAACAAACCTTTCTGGAACAGAATGTAACTATAATTACAGCAGGCAGTTTGAATTTCTCTTCTGATAGTTAGGGATTTTTAAACTTTACAAAAGGTATGCCCCAGTGTCTAGCACACTGGTTGACCTTTGATCATTATTAGTAAATGTTGGAGAAAAAGATCTTTGTTTCCAAGGCCAATGTTGTAGCACATCAGGCTAAGCTGCCTTTTCCACATGAAATCCTGCTTCAGCAACCCAGCTGCTCTTCCTGCAGCTCATCTCCCTGATAATGCATCTAGTAAAGCAGCTGAAGATGGCTAAAGTGCTTTGGATCCTGCCACCCATGTGGGAGATTCAGATGGAGTAGGCTCTTGGTTCTGACTGGCTCAGTCTCAGCTGTTTCAGTCATTTGTGGAGTGAACCAGTAGGTAGAAGAAGGTCTCTCTATGTCTCTGTGTATATATATATTTTTTTTCAAATAATTCAAACAAACTCTTAAAAGTATGTTTAAAAGATCTTATTTTCCCAATTGAAAGCCAAAAGAGGAAAGAGGGTACTTCTTTGTAGTTATTGAGCAGGGCACAAAGTTTGTAGCAAAAGAGCCAAGAGAGCAAAATGAGACTCCTCAACACAACAATCTATCAAAATGCAGAAGATATATAACAGGAGGGGTGTGTGTCATGTCAATATAAAAATGCCAATACTGATAACATCATGTCTTTAGAAACTGGACAACTATCTGGAGTCAACTAATTTTTAAATTTTGTTTTCGTTTTATTTGAAAGGCTTAGACACAAAGAGAAAGAGGGCAAATATGGAGCAGAGAGACAGAGACAGAGAATTTTCCATCTGTTGATTTACTTCCCCAAATGCCCATAACAGCCAAGACTAGGCCAAGCCAAAGCCAGGAGCCCAGAACTCCCCTGGGTCTCCCATATGGGTGGCAAGAACAAAAGCACTTGTTCCACTACCCACAGCCCTCCAGTGTCTGCTTTAGCAGGAAAGTAGATAAGAAGCAGAGCTAAGACTTAAGCTCGATACTCCCAATATAAGATGCTGCCATATAAAATACCTACCATGGGGCCCACATTTTTATTGTCATATATCAAACATTCTGACAGATTTAGCAATTCCCTCAAGAGCCAAGAATGTGCATTTTGCAAAAGGTAATTAGATGATCGAAGTCAAATGAGGATGGAATAGAAATAAACCAGAGTATGAACCCTATTTTTCTCCTAGGAGTTCATGAATACCCAACCCACCTATATGATGGTTCCACATAAAACTGTAACTGAACCACGTTCATAGAATTCAGGGAAGAGGGCTCAACAATAGCAACAAAATAAAGTTATCTCTAATTTTGTTTGTTGTGTCAGGTTATTGCACATAGAAACAACCTTAGTACATGCTGTGATTGCATCACTCAGTTTTCAGTAGGCTGCCCTGCCTATGTAAATGCAAATCTCAAAGGCTTATGACAACAGTTTATTCCTCACACACATCCTTGAGTTTTTCATTTATACTCCCCAGCTGAAAGAACAGTTCATGTCTGCTTTCAAATAGAAGGAAAAGAGTAAAGTGACTAAAGCATCTCAAAAGTTTTTAAATTGCTACTTGGCTGTGTACATAGTTTCTACCTGCCTGGCAAAACAGAGAAGTATGGTCCACTCATAGGGAAGCACTGAAAAAAACCACACAGCAGACAAGTGAACAATCCTCTTACACAAGGGAGCATGAATAATTTGAAACTGTAGTGTACTCAACCACAGGACTCACTGTGATTTTAATTGTTATTAGAGACAAGATACCTTGTTCTAACTGAACTCATCGCTTCAGCAACATACGAAGGTACTAAATAGTACTAGCATTTGCCAATGTCCACGGATTTTCTAGATACAGATCCACTTCCTTTTCCCACTCACCATGCAGGGAAAGAGTCCCATTTCTTACTGCCAGGAACTTTACTCCATAGGGAAAGAAGGGGGTAGAGTAAGAACTCCCATAGAGTTTGATCCGAGCTCTGCCTTGGAAGGGTTTGTCCTCAGATCCAATCCGGAGCTCTCCACCATCAGAAACAAGGATGGCATGGGCCCTGAGATCCACAGTTCCTGTGCCCAGGAAAACCAGCTTGCCTCCTAGTGGACAAGACAAAGAAAAAACTATCAGTCACTGGGAGAATGAAACCCGGCTCATTTTGATCAACCCAAGTGCTGATGAACTCTCTTGCATTTGTGTACCTCTGCTGCAATTTACACATACTTTATCATACTCTCTTCTAAGAGCACAAAAGGGTAGGAAAGACATCTAAGAATAAAATTCCAAGTTACAAAGCCAATTTAGATTACCTAACATAAAACGCTACAGTGTTTTTTTTTTTTACTATTTTATAACAATAACCTAAAAGTCCAATAATTTAGCAATGTTTAAATATGGAATAGAAAGACTACTAAGTTTATCCTTGCGCAGGGGCCATGCTAATCTTCTTTGTATCCTTCCAATTTTAGCATATGTGCTGCCGAAGCGAGCACAATTAGCAAGAGATAAATGGGACTTATAAAATTAAAGTATAGCAAACACTAAGAATCAAGTGTAAAAAATGAGAAAAAATATGCCAAAACTGTAAGAATTACAATAAATGAGCATAAAATTAGGTCTACTATCATACATTTATAGTGTTTTAGTTGACCAGCACCCATTTTACTTTGTTTTGATAACAGACCCCTGTTTCCTTGAGGAATATTCCTCTGCCCCAATGAAAATTAGGACTGTCCATGAACACTTCTTGCCTTTCCATAGCCTGAATCTCAGACTTGGCTTTCCAAAAAGCATTTTGATGCAAAATGGAAGATAGAAGAGATCTTTCAGTAGTGGCATTTTAAGGAATAAGAGGGCATTCTTGGTTACAAGATTCTTTCCTACCAATCCCACTACCAACCCCCAATGCCCTAATTCTTATCCATTTCTGTGCCTCATTGTCCACACTGATTTTCACTGAATCATGAAGCCATACAGTACATTCAATTTTCTTTAAGTTTCTGTCAATTAATAACAAAATACAGATTTCATTTTAATCTTAATGTTCAAATTTTTTGTAACATAGGAATATTATCTCATAAAAAATTACACTGAGAAATATTAAAAACTTTCACCTTCTGTTGCCTTTCATTAAAATGATTCAGAATATTTACAGTTCATGCATGACTTTCACAAAAATGTTAAAATTAATTAAAGCATCCCCTATAAATAGTTTAAACTGAATTAGCTACTCAATCTACCTTCCTCTTATGAGCGATTTGCAAAAGCAGTGAACTAGACTCTTCTACTCAGTAACAAAGTCATCAGAGCTGTGACATTGCATAAGAAACACAAGAGCTCCTCTCACACAAACCCTGGTACAGTTTTGCAACTCCCTCAGGATGAAAGTTAAAGTCCTTACACTGGGTTACAAAAGTCCCTTCATTACTTGCTACCTCATCTCTAATACTTTCTTCAATATGATCTCTTTTTATTATGAGATTTATTTATTAAATTACTTATTTATTTGAAAGTCGAGAGAGAGAGTGTGGGCGTGCGTGCGTGTGTGTGTGTGTGTATGGTGCACGTGCTTCTACCTGCTGGTTCACTCCCAAAATGGCCTCAACAACAAAGGTTGGGCCAGTCCAAACCAGGAGCCTGAAACACCATCAAGGACTCCCACATGGGTTAATACAGATGAAGTAGTCTTCCACTAATTCCCCAAGTCCAACAGGAGCACTAGATTGGAAGCAGAGTGCCCAAGCATCTAATGGCAGACAGTGGTTTAACCTGATGCACTGCAATATCTGCTCCAAATGCACTGGCCTGCTTATTGGTTCTCAAACAGGTCTCTGTGAGGGATTCTTCTTTACCTGGAAATTTCGCTGTCAGATATTCACAAGGCTCGCTCCCTCCCTCTCTCTGGATTCCACCTAAATGTTAACTTCTTACACGTCTTCCTTCTCCAAGCTATATAAACCAATATGCTCTAAGGAAGGGGAAGAGTATGGATGAATCCCTATACCTACAAAACTATTTTGGAAAATAATAATACTTAAAAAAATAGCATGTCCTAGCCTCTTACCCAAATGTATCTTTCTTTGTAACACTTGAAATCAGATATACTGTATGTTTAAATGTGTGTTTTCTGTCCTCCTTCACACCTTCTACAATATTTGCTTCATAAAGGCAAATAACTGTTTTGTTCATTTCTCAATTCTTAGCTTCTAGAAAAGTTATAGACAAGTAGTTGGCACTTGCCACATAATTGTTCAATGAATGAAAAGGTTTCTTTTACAGAGTCTGATTTAAGCACTTGTCTTTCCTTATGTACACAAACACAATCTAATTTTCTCAAAAAGGATGCCATAATTACATTTAATCTATAAGCCAAACATTTTCTTAAGGAGCTAAAGTAAGACAGGGAAAGAAAGAGCAGAGTGACAGGAATGGTTTGAAAGGCAGATTGTACTACTATTAAGTAGGATCTTGGTGAGCAGCTACGGGGAACCAAGCTTTTTACCTGCAAAGTTTATTTCTAAATCTAGCATTTTGTTGACCACCAATTAGTGTGCAGATTGTGATCAATAAACAATTGACTGAACTGGCAAATGTAGAGCTGTTACTCCCCTGGCCTTCTATCCAGCTTTCCTTGGCATTCTAAAATTAAGCCTTCTAGCCTTTGATTCCAAAATCCAAGTCACACATCATCAGTAACAGTTATGGGACACTTATTCTGCTAGATCTTTAAAGTGCTATTCCTGTTGGCTGCAGATTCAAATGACAAACTCCATCTAGGTACACAGTCTTTCCTTTCATAAATTTTCATGGTAAGAATTCTATCACCAGACACCCACCATGATGGCACAGTGGCTAAGTCCTCATCTTGCAAGTGCCAAGATCTCATTAGGTACCAGTTCACATTCCAGCTGCTCCACTTTCATTCCAGCTCCTTGCCTACAGGCTTGGAAAGCTATAGAGAATAGCCAAAAGCCTTGGAACCCTGAAGTTACATAAGAGGCATGGAAGAAGCACCTGGTAGGCTCAGCTCTGGCCATTACAGCCATTTAGGGACCGAACCAGCAGATGGAATATCTTTGTCTCTCCTCCTTTCCAAAATTTAATCTGTATTTCCAATAATAATAATAATAATAATAATAATAATAATAGTAAAAGTTTTCCCCAGTCCATGTGGTCATTCATATATGTTGAAAAAATACTTGCAAAATCATGGTCTGGGGTTTTGACACTTAAGAATTAATGCAAGGGCATGTACTGTTATTTTCATACTCACCTCTAATTTCTTCTACAGTTGCTCCATCTTTTTAGCACTAACAAACCACCCTCTTCCAACATTTATTTCTATTCCTTTTTATAATTATAATCCCTTATAAATAGCATCCCTTTCAAAGTATATCAAGGGGTAAGTATGATAGCATATAAGGCTAATTTTCAGCTTGCCAGCATCCCATAAGGACACTGGTTCTTGTCCTGGTTGCTTCACTTCCAATCCAGCTTCCTTATTATGACCAGAAAATCAGAAAAGAAAGGCCCTAATTCTTGGGCACCTACACGCATGTGGAAGACCCCCAGAAGAAGCTCCTAGTAGCTCCTGGTTCCCAGCCTCAGATCATCTCTGCTCTGGTCATTGCAGCCATTTGGGAATGAGTCAGCAGGTAGAAGACTGCTCACTGGTTCGTACTCTCTCTCTCCCTGTGTGTGTGTATTCCTCTCTAACTACTCTTTCAGGTAAAAAAAAAAAAAATACCAAATACATTATAATGTCATATACATTGTAATCAAAGTACATTTATCTAAGAAGTAATAGTACTGACCCTTGATACCCTACACTTGATGCCAGAGCATTATTGCAATGCCTATTAGGATTTAAGAGTATTCAAAAATGATTTTGGCTTTAATTTTCTCCTCTATTGTCATCAATCATAGAAATGCACTTATAAACATTAATCCTGCTGTGAACAGAAGGAAAAAAATATGACCTATGATGTTAACGAAAGCTTTTTCACTCCCAGCCACATGTCATTAATGTCCTAATTAATTATATTCAACTAGTAGACCATGGATTCGCATGTCAGGATTCCCATATTATAAATACACAGAAAATATGAACTGACCTTGATGAGGAAGTGAAGGCCGGGCACAGAAACAAGATTCCTGTCCTGCTCCTGTTTACCTCTCAATGACCCTAGGTAAGTCCCACACAACTGCTGAGTTTCAGATTATCAAGTTTCCAAATATGTCCTACTCTGTGCCTTGGAATGATGTATGTTCTCACCACAAAAGTGGAAGTTAGACTGGGGCAAACACTGTGGTACAAAAGCTTTAAACTGCCCTGGGCAATACCAGCATCACACATAAGTGCCAATTCAAGTACTAGCTGCTCCATTTCCATTCTAGCTCCCTGCTTATGCAGCTGGGAAGGCATCAAAAGACCCAAGTACTCCAATGCCTTTCTCCTGTGTGGGAGTGCTGCCTATAGTTCCTGGCACCTGGTTTCAGCCTAGCCAGGTCCCCTTCATCATGATCTTTAGGGAATTGCTTTCTGTTGATCACTTTAAAAAGTAAATCCCATATTTATTTTTTTTAAAAAGATGAAAGGTAGGATAGTGTATTCCCAAACTTCTTCCAACATTAGACCATTTGACAGCTACATCTTTAAGCATTTAGTCAGATGTGCATTCAACAGTAACTCTAATAAGGAGCTCAGGTTCACTTGGTACTACCCAAACTTCAGGGAGCTTCAAATTTCACCTGAAGAAGGCATAATGTGACCAAGGAATATTTATGAAATACCCACCAAGTACCAATGACTGTTGAAAGCAACCTGGAAAGTTAGTATTATATTTTAGAATCAACACAACAGCCTGCTTTTATTTAAAAATAAAGTTCAGGTCTCTTCCACTCAGAATAGAGCCAAGCATTAGAACCCAGGACACCTGGCAGAAATGCTCATGTTCTTTCCATTTCAAAAAATCCTCACTGGTAGCTTTGTCATTAATCAGGGTTGTTATTCACAGTTATGTTAATCTAAAGTAAGTCCGCCTATGGCTTATTTACATCTGATTTGTTTCAATTTTGTTAACGAAGATACACCTTGTCTCACTCCAAAAAGAAGCTAAAGCAAATTACAAGGATTACTGTATAAATGTAAAAATCTGTACTCTGTCCTGTGTGTCATTAGCAAAATAGTAAACACACTGAAACAAATTGATGGAAATTTTGAACCATCATTTACTGACAGAAACTAATAATGATGTTAATGAAGGGAGAAAAGCTCAGCTCCAAGAAAATGAATGACTTGTATTGTCAACAGTGCTGTAAGCAGGGCTAATTAATTGATATGGACATCATTAACCCCTGCTATAAAGCACACCCTCCTCACTTTGTCAGTGGCAAATATAAGGACATCTCAGGACACTAAGGAGACAGACTGAGGAAGAATTTAGCTACTTTTGCCTGAAATAATTATAAGTGATAATCAACATGAGAGCTT